AAATAAATTTTGAGAAAACTCAAAAAAACTTTTTAAAAATAATTTTAGCAGGCAAATTTGCCTGCTAGACGGTTTAAAGGATAATCAAGTTGTAGCTAATGATCATTTTTACCAACAACTTTTAGGTAGTTCTAGTAACAGATCCCGACTTAAAAATAATTCTAATAACGATTTTACTTCTGCTTCCAAATTTAATGAAATAATTGCTGAAGATATATTACGCCACTTGGTAGATTTTGAAATACTTGCAGAAAATAATAAGTATATAATAACAGAATTACAACGGCAAATAAAAAATAAAAGTGAAGTAATATCCAGACTAAATAAGCAACTAGAAGAATGCTATAGAACTAGAAAACAGGTGCTGTTAGATATGCGAAGTGAAAAAGTTAAAAAATAAAAAAAAAGGATTGGCTAATAGTAAGTATAGTGACGATCATCTGATCTAAAAATAGGTGCGAACATAAACACACACAAAATCATGTCTATCACTACACTTTAAATCAGTGATGGGTTTGGAACAGTTTCGATCTACATTGGGATATTTTGAAACATTTTGGGACAATTTTATAAATTAAAATTACTCAAAATTTTATTAAAATAATCTACTTTAATTTTTTTAAAAATAAATTCAGCATCTAAAAATATATATAATTGTATATTTTTTAAATTAATTTATTAATTATTAAAACTTGGGACTTAGTTGGGACATTTTGGGACACTGGGACGTTGGGATATTGGGACATAGCAAAAAAGCTTGGGACACTGTCTGAACCCATCACTGCCTTAGATCATCCTCCACTACACTTCGGACAATGATAGCTTAGCTAAGAGAAATATATGAAAAACAATATGAAATACATAAACAACAATATGAAGTAAATAGACAACTAACTGAACAGTGAAATTCTCGGTATAGCAATCAGCATAAGTGTATATAAGCCATTACCGATATCATGTTAATCGAATGAGATTCATTATATGAAGATGTCAAATCTCTTATTAGAAATAATAATAGATTTTCTTTAAAAAATCTATTAGAATATACTCTACAAATATGGCTAAGTAAACATAATCCAGTTGTTGTAAAATTTATCAAAATACTAACTAGTAATAATTTCGATATAGGTTCTGAAAGCGCTGAAAAACTTTACAAGAGGATGATGACAGTTGATTCAATATATGGGTTCAGACATGAAAAATATGTTTCAGAAATAGGTCTTATGGCATTAGCCATTAAATATTCTATCGCACGATCCAAGACTATTATTAATATTAATAACCATATTACAAGCTCAGAAAGCTATTTTAGCTTTCAGAAATGGTTAGACAAATTAGGTGAAAAAGAAGAAAATTTACTAGACGGTCTTTTGTTTTTAGCGTTCGATAATAAACAAAGAGGGCAAAAAAATTATTTAGATCAGGAATTTAATACGGTTATATTTTATATTGTCACCAGTTTTGTTGCTTTTAATATAGACTATCATAATCATATTCAATATACTAATAATAATCCTTGGGCTTTTAATTCCCTAAGTAGGTTGCAATACGAAAGCCTTTTTGATACTATATCTGAAATGCAAGAAGTTGCTGATTAAGAATTATATACTTATATTTCTGAATTACTTGATTTGTTGTGTGAAGAAAAATCATCTACGATTAATTCATTTGCTTCTAATATAGATTCAAGTAGTCGTTGTAGTAAGCATTGTCCTAGTTGTAATGAGAAGAACATTGATAATCGGAAGCAAGTATGCCCTAAATATAAATTTTGTCTACCTATGTTAACGGAAATGTCGAAAGATGGTGATGAAATAGAAAATATAGCAAAAAAGTCGATTGTGTTTAAGCCATATGGTGTTGAAGAGCAGACTCGACGATCCAATATAACAAGAATTAGCATAACTCAAAAAGCATGTGCCGATTAGGGAGTTAATGTTCCAGAAATCTTTGTCTCTGACCTTTTTAATATTAATTCAAATTCAACTGCTAATGTTGAAAAAATTCTTCTCCATATTGAGAATATAGCAGAAATTAAAAATAAGTTGCGTAAATAGACAGTTGTAACTTGCGACAGCATTCCATATCATCAATAGCTAATATAAAAGATAAGTATCCATGGTTAGTTCTTGTTCCTGGGCCGTTGTATGAGGAAATGAACATGCTTTGGGCATATGTTAAATTAAATTAGTAATTTTTTTGTTAAATACCTTTTTTTTTTTTGTATTTATATTAACTTAATTGCTTAAATAGGAGTATCAATCTTAAGCAATTTGCAATCTCCCAGGGATATAAGACCAAAAATCAGCTAAATTATTTTAAAAAATGCTACAATCATCACAAATTATGGGATTTGGTCTGCAATATCTATCGCCAAGCTATGGCTATAGAGTTAATGTAGCCATATATTAAAAGTCATCCTATTTCGTCAGTAGAGGGTTATTTGTTCTAAATAAGGAAACAAAAGGATTTGCTTTATCAAGTAAAATTTGAGCAAGTAAATTTAAGAAATTAAATTTTAGTTTCAAAATTAGACACCTATTTCAAAACAAACCTTGATCATTTGTAACTAAATTCTTTATTTATTATTTTTTTTTTAGATATTTGTCTATCTTCAAGCTATTGTTAATTACAGAACAGCAATTAGGAAAAACAACTCATTATTGAAAAGAGTCGCAAAAAGGATTTTCTCTCCAATATGGTCTGCATAAAGGCACCTAATATATTATCAGATAGAAGTTTCTGATGAAATACAATTTATGTGGCTTGACTTGTTGGTAAGAGATATTATAAAAAAGAATTGTGTCATATTTTAGTTAGAATTTATTAGCCAGCATCAAGAACAAGATGCAATTTTAGAAGAAATAAATAAGGCTCTAAAAACTTTAATACCTCCTGTCTCACAAATGCGACATTGGAAAATTGCTGCTCGAAATTGTAAAAAGTTTTTTTTAAGTATGTATCTAATCATTTATAATTTAATTCTTTTATAAATTTACTTTATATCGAATTTTAGTTGCAAAATAATTTCTTCAACTTAATCAGATTTAACGATTCTCAAACGACTAGTTCAAGTAATCAGCTAGAAGCGACTATGGAGTGCCAAAGGTTTCAAGCTCATCTACGTAAAGATAATTTCGTTAATTCAACAATGGACTTGAAAACTACTTATAGTAGCTTGGGAGAGGAATATGAATTAAGTTTACAATTGATGGATTTTACTAATTTAGCTAAGCAGGCTCGATGTGAATATATTACTAACGTTTTTATTAATAATGGCTCAGCTTCTTTATTTAGACCAATTCCGATTACTAAACAAGAAGCCATTGCACAAACAAGTGAAGTATCTATGATGAAAGCAGAAATTGTTTGCAAAATAGAGGCGTTTCTTGAACAATTAGATGAGAGTATTCAAAAAAAATATTGTGGAATTAAATTGAAAAAACATAGTGAATTGTTGGTTATATTGGAAGAGGTAAGATCTTTAATTAACAATGAATTCAACATTGAAAATTTAGGGATATCAGGAAGTGAAATAAGTGAAGTAGAATACACTTAAAGTTTTGAATCAAGATTCTTATTTCAAATCGAAAGTCATCATATTTGAATCAAGATTCTTATTCAAGGATTTTTTTTTTAATTATTTTAATTTATCTATTTATTATTTATTTAATTTATCTTTTATTTACTTATTTATTATTATTTTATATATTTATTTATTGATATACAATTTTATTAAATTTTAATAAATTTGAATTTAAAAATTCTGATTTTTAATTTTTAAGGAAGAATTTTAATAAAATCGATATTATCTGCTTCAAAAAATCGCTTCTTGATTTATTTTTATCAGTTTGTTTGCTATTGGTTATATATTTGGATCTGATTCTAAGTTTCTTTTAGCCAATCTTGTATAGCATTTTGTGTTTCTTCTCCGAATCCTAATCATTTAAAAGGTCATTTATTAAATATAAAAAGACTTCCAAAAAATATGTGAGATTTATCAAAAACTCAAAAACAGGATTCTGGCTTTTCAAATAATTCATTTGCAAAACTTATTATATAGTGGTAATATTGTAAACTTTGAACTTTCAATACCAAAAAATGTAAAACTAATATAGCGGTTAGTTGCAGAGCTATATTGAATACTGACAATATTTTCAATAACTATTTCAAGTAGATGCATTCAAGGCTTTGAAAAATATAATTATATTGAACTAACTATTTCCTCGGTAGATATAATAAAAATGTCTACCTGGTTACAATCTCTTCATTCGAATAGATAAGGAGTTCTGCAGCAGTATTTTTTTATAGTATCTTATAATAGAAATTGATCGTTTGGATGCTTCTCATTTAAAAAAAAATAATAATAATATGAATGAAATTGTAGGAAGAATAATATGTTAAATTCATATTTTATTAAAAATTATTGCGCAGTACTGCAAAATTTGGTAGGTTTGATTGGTCGCTGACTAATTAGCCAATCACATAAACATTTTGCCAGAAATCTCTAGAATTACATAATTAACATTTTATTACCATAAATGGGATGATCGATGTTATCCATTTTTGATAATATCCCTGACTGAAATCAATGGCGCAGCTGCTGCGGCTATGATTTACTAATTATGTATATGAATCGATTAGGGTAGCTACCTGTCATTGTTTGAGTTATTTATATTATGTAGTTGCATCATTGTTACGCATTTAGAATGCTTATTAAAATAACTAACAATTATTTTAAAAATTTCTTATATAGGGCTATCTAGTAAGATCTCACCAGGGTGGCCACCAAAAGTCTGGGTTATACAATCCAAACTATTGTCATGACAGTAGCGGTAGTATATTGCAACAATAAAGCTACAAGCGGGAGCTGTATATATAATCCAACAATCTTAATAATTATACAGCATCTTATTATCTGATCCAGACTTTTAATAGCTGCTCTGGCGAACTCATCTAATAATTATCTGTAGCAGCAGCCAAATCAACTACAAAAATTCGTATATTTATGTGAGAAGGTAATATAAAAATTAATATACTAAATATTTATAGGATCTTATTTTAAGATCATAATATATAGTCTATATTCATTATTTTGTAACAATAATCTTAATAGTGTGTACTTTAAATTCTTGCACTTTTTCTTATTAGCGCCTTCTCATATAATATTACAGTTTCTTGTGAATGTATATCATTTTTTTTTTTGTATTGAAAAACTAGTTATAAATTCATTTATAATTTTATATACCAACCATGCCAAATTCAATGACTTAACTGAATCAGCTAAAAATTGGTTAGCAAATTTTTACTTGGTGTCCCAGAAATTATAATAATAGCTGTAATATTTTTATATATTAAAAAAAGCCAATCAGCCAGGCCTGTTTAAAAGTTTATTGTTAT